TGTTGTAATTGTAAACGTTTGTGTATTAATACCGAAGGACACAGGTAAGTAAAGTAGATAAAAATAACGCTTAAAATTTAAGGAGAGTTTGTGACCTGTAAAACGGAGAATGTTCCGTTTATTAAATATTTATGACTAAGAATTTATGGCTTTGTATGTTTCCTGTATTCGTTTTCATCAAGGGTTAAAACAAATATTTTTACTTTGTCTGAACAAAGGATAACTGAACGTGTAGCTTTTTGTGATGCTCATATCCATATTATTTTCCAATATGTTTTAAGTTTATTGATATAATTTTACACCTGAAGATGGTTCGATGAAACCGAAACATGTTGTAAAAATGTTCCAAATGTAAATCGATTATTCGATGTGGAACATAAAATGATAATTTAATTATCTTATTTGTAAATTTTAAATTTTTAAATATAATTGTGACTAGACGGACAAAACCGAATAATTAATTTAATATTTAATTCACAATTTGACGCAATTATACTATTTTATGAACATTGAAATTTTAAGGAAACAGTTTTTCTTCGGTTGCATATTACTGTTATGTTTGGGCATATATAGCTCTTTTGCCCTGGTATAAAATTTGCGTAGATGTAGGTTTCAGTAAAACTAAGTTAAACTGTGCTACAATAATTGATGAGAACATTCATCATCAGGTATTTCACGTTACGGACAAAGCTGTCTGGCTGGCAGGACAGACCAGTGTCTCTCTACACAAGTATCTAACAGGTAACGCACAGACATAGAAACGTTTCATTGTACCAGACTCACTGGCTACAAGGCTCACTCAATAATTACTGAAGACTAGTATTTTTAAAAAGTCCGTGGCCATTCATATTTAAACTTGCATGTCGTGTTATACAAAAATACAGGGCTGATCATTCCCTATTGTTTTCCTGTTTCGATGTTGCTTCTAAGACTGCAGCAAGTGACCCATTGAAATAATTATTGTTTTTTTGAATCGTTGTATGTGTTGCTTATCTTTTGATCATAAATTAACCTGACTTTTTTACGTATTGAATCTGTACATCCGTCTTTACGTTATCGTGTCAGAAACTATAGTGCGTATTCTCAAAATAATTTTTATATTGGTAATTAACAATAAGCGGTGTTGGGCGAATTCCACTTTACTCTGATGTAACCTATACTTTACGCTAAATGAAACTTTAATAACGAAAATAGTTGTTCCGATCACTCATTGTCCTAATGATGGAGGCAGCAAGGACCTCTGAAACGTTGGCAAACTTCTACCAGACTACACGGCGCTACAACCCAGACGACAGCCATCTTCGTATTGACGTTCGTGAAAACCTGAAATCCTACTTGAAACTGACAATGTTTCTAAAATTGTGTAATCGAAAAAAGAAAATAAAAGGAAAGGTAGCTGGAATATTTAAGTTGTTAAAATGAGTGGCTACAGGTTGGATTCGATTCTCGGCGAGAGCATTTAATTTCGGTTCTCACTGCGACGAGTATGAAGATGGTTGTCTTCTGGGATGTATCTCATAGTCTGGTAGATATTATCGACGTTTCAGGGGATATTACTGCCTTTAAACGTCGATCATTACTTACTAATCTAGACGGCACATCATCCGAGAAAACAGCCATCTTAGTGAATTCCTACTTTGTCGTCCAGACCGCATCTGTGACGCATCCAGTCTCAGAGACAAGCGATACCGAGGTTTAAGAGTTCTGAGTATGAAGTTTCTTACTCTCTCTCGTCCGGTGAAGAAGTCTATAGTGCGTGGAGCTGTACCTCCAAACTCTTTACGCCGTCATGGTGAAGTGCTTACCCTCAAGTACAACTTTTACCTTCTGTGGACTTCCAGGATTCGATTCCCTATTGGAGGAGGGGGGGGGTTATTTATTGATTTCTTCGTTCAAACAGGATGTGATTCCTACCTGATGGGTACTGGAAGGATTTTATTCGAGATTAAAGAGACCGAAACGTGAAGTCAGCTATTAATCTCCACCTCGATTCGAGGTCTAGAATGCATAGTTTTATATGCACGCTATCTGTTAATCTTCAAACATAAGGAAATACTTTACCGACAAAAGTTTTGACATTAAAAATTATTATTGGTAGTGCATTATTGGTTGTTTCATGTTCAGTTCTGTCCACGAGCTTTTTATTTTCTGTTTTGTTACTGTATCTCCAATTTTGGCAGTGCGCAATCCCCACAGAAGACCCACTTTTGGAAATTCTCTGCAACTGCTGACATCATGGAATATTTTACAGTCTTACGGCTTATCCGATGACGTTATAACTCAGAAGTAACGGTTCAAGTTGAATGAATTATTTTCTAAATCATCGAATACGGGGTTGTAAATTACTGCATCATACTGAAGAACTACCCTGATGATGGAAGTAGAAAACATCTTCGAAATTTCTGTACACGCTTAAGAATTGTGGTTGTTTATGAAGGGTAATTTATTAGTGTAAACAAAGTACTTGACATTACAATAAATCTTAAATATTGTATGAAGTTTTTGGTTGGATTCGTTTGACATAGAATAGGCAGCAGTGGCGGGCTCTTGTAAGAGATTTGGTGGGCATTCTGATCTATAAAAGGTAGGGAGTTTGTTTATCATGTGAGTGATTATTAGCTTATCAAAAGCGACAGTGCTTTGTAGAGATAATATAATAATCACTACATTTTAGTATTTTGGACACACATAAAATAAATACAAACTATCATTTTGTTTTTGTACCTAGCTGAATTGTGACGCCCTCATGCAAAGTAGTTTTAATCGTCTCTTTGCTTGAGTAACTAGGCAGTTCAGCTCGGCACATCAATATTTCAGTTTATCACCACAGTAGAGCACGAAGTATGTGTTTGGTGAGTTGGCCTCTTTGTATCACAACATTCTGTGGAATTCCCTTGAGTCAGGACTTTACCCTGAGTATCAGCTTCTCGCAGTATGCCCACTACGTGACGGCCAGAAAAAGGATCATTCTAGAATGCTTGGTTTTGACGTTGGCTTAACTCTAGTGATTAAAGTAGTTTAAGAGCAACTTAGAATGCAGTACACAGGCATTAGTTGGATCTCATTTTGCTTCCACTGAAATAATGACATTCATTATTCTTTCTACCTTAACCCCCAAATTGTACCCAAAGTACTTAGTTTTCTCGGAGCTAATAGTCGTTCATCTGTTAAATAAAATCTGCATCTTTTATGAAGCATTGTTGGTCCATTAATGTGAACACAAGAGTCAACCACTGGTCTATATCCTGAATGAGATTAACTCTATTAAGTCCTTACTCTAAAGCTCTAAACTCTTCTTTAGTTTTCAGATTCTTCGACTGAAATTCTGCATGTATTTTTAATCTCTCCAATGCTGTTACTAACCTGTGTCTCATATATATATACCTATTTTTACAAATTAATATAATAAAACTGAAGTTGGGAGTCTCTAAGGATATCGCCGCTTCGTGTATTGTGGTATATATTGATCGATGCTTCAGAAGTGCTTATTGCTTCTATCTTCAGGGCGATAAACCTCACTGTGCAGCATCCTAGAAGTAGGCTATCTTCATACTCGTCGACGTGAGAGCCTGAAATCTCACAATAAAAGTGGTTTACTTAATTTCGTACTTCTCAGACCACTTTATTTTCGTTATTTGCCATTAGTGACAAGAACTAAAAAATATAATTGTAACTGTTAGTTCCGGAGGAAAGTGTAGACGCATTTACAGGATAGAATTATGGGGAAACTGAAAAACTTGTCGTGCTGTAGTTAGCGGCAAAATGTCCAGTTCAGTTGTGTCGGAAATTAAAAACAGCTCGATGACGCGCTTTGCGCGGTGGCTGTTGCATTTTTTTTTATGAACTTCAAAGTTCAGTTTTTATTTATTGTTCTTTCCGGTTTGAACAGCGAAGTTTATATTAAAAAACATTCGTATATTCTGTTCCTATTCTCATAGATACACATTACGTCTACATTAGAAAGAGTAGTTAATTAATGATGGTCAGAAACATAATTATGTCTTAAAACAGAAAAAGTCACAAGTAATTATTATCGATAAAATGTTAGATTATTAGATGTTTAAGTCCATGGCACATTGTTATATGTTACCATTATCTTTAAAAGTAGTTACGTAATAGCCAGATTTACAATTACTTCGATAAGCGTACTTAGTTTCCTGCTTTGGGGTACTTAATGTGAATCGATCATTTAAAAATTATGTGAGTCCACTTTCTGAAAGAAAAAAGAAAGAAAGACGTAATAATCCAGCAATACACAGTTATTTTTAGGTTGATTTATTTTTCCCATGAATAATTGGCTATAATATGTTTTTCTACAGTTTTATTTTACGAAGATCTTTTGCATCGTGTTGTTTTACTAAGTATCAATATAATATTTAATGAGCATTGTACGACTCACGTAGTTCTATTCTTTTTACCACTGACGGGGTTACCAGAACCTAAACTAAAACCTAGTACCAAAATGGCAAGTGTCTAAGACTCTTACCATTTAACTTGGCAACATACTGTAGGTAAAACTTGAACCGAAGTGGTTCTTGTAGGAAACAAAGAATTTGCCTCTGGTGTTTTTCCATGGTAGCAATAGCTCATTCCTCTCAAAAAGCATAATCATGCGTTTCTGAAAATGATTTATATAGCATTGTAGCTAATTACAATAAACAAATGAAAAGTTCTAATTGTTTTGAATCTAATTATTTTGAGTATATGCTTTATTACTTCATAATGGAATAGGGAACTTTGCATTTATGTTACATCAACAAATAATAAATTTTGCATGTGGTGGTATTTGAGTAAATTCTTTCACAATACATTTACGAAATTTATGAATCAGAAACGCGTATCTTTTGTGCCTGTTAGCAGTTTATTGTTTTCGTTTGCCTTCTCCTAACGGTCTGTTACGCGCAAGTCTTCAACCATTGCGTTGTCTGCGCATGTGTTATAGACGTCGACACCGCGGCGACTACGTTCCTGGTATTAAGCTACTGGTACGCCTGCGTGAGTGAGTGTACTCTGGGCCGTATAAGTGACCGTGCACACTTGTTCTGAACCACAGTTGCAGACATTCGGCAAAGTCACTGCGACCATCAACCTTCGCTGGAGACTTTGTTTTCGGGGTCATAGCTTCATAGCTTGTTATCCGTGTATGTGAACGCATCCGATCGTAACCATAGCAACGCGACAATGCGAGTTCTAATTTCACAGCTCTTTATTTGAATCTTATATTCTACCAGTCTTTATATCAAAGATATAACAGTGCATAGTATGTAAGTCATTCGAGTGTTTATGTAGGTGTAACGAAGCGTGATGATGTAAATTAACTATTTCATGTTCCAAAATCGAAAAAAAGAAAATTGTATTTGCGTAATAGATCAATGTCGTCGTTATTATTATATTTATGTTTTTAGTGATATACCAAAATTTTTCTTGTGTTAATATGTAACAATATAAGTTCTGGAAGTTAACTGAGAGACGGATATATAATGTAGTAATGTATTACACTTTACGAAGCGTAGAGTTGATCGTTTATGTAGGCCCATGTTGTAACAGTAGTCGTTTCTGCTAATAATTAAGTTACGCATAATATTATTAACCTGTAGCAAAATATACAGAAACAGTTCGCATGTTTCTGAGTATTGGCCGCAAGCCAATTAGCATTTCGGAATAAATACCTTAATGTTATAAATGTTAAGTCGCAACATGATAAGATATTAATCTATTAATGTCTTTCTTGTCTGCTGTCATGCATTAGTGGGGAAAAGCATATTAACTCTCCTTTGGTTTTCATTCCAGTCAGTAATCGTTAAATCAATTCGTTACGAGGCATCTTAATTGAAAATCTAACGCGAAACTGGAAAAAAACAGTCTGTTTCTTTAACAGAGCGGTGTGCAACACCTTATTGCAAAACAAGCCCAGAAATAGTGCGCCTATTCGTAATTAGGAGTGGTGGTTAGTCGCGTGTGTGCTGATGAGGATTCAGTTCAGCAGCGCCTTGTGTTGTCACCATGAGGCTCGCCGGGGAGTCAGTATCTTCACCTGGTAGCTCCCGCTATAGTCGGTCACCACGTGGGCCCTCAAGGGCTCCCCTCGCCCGGGCGGCGCGGCCCCGAGATTCTAAGACCAGCAGCAACAGTAGTAATGGGAGGGTATACGGCGTCGTGGGCGTCGTGGCGCTCAGTTGCTACCTCAACGGCCTGACCGGGGACTTCGTCCACGATGACATTCCCGCGGTCACGCAGAACAAGGACGTGCTGGGACTCAGCCCCCTGAGCCACGTGTTCCGCAATGACTTCTGGGGCACTGCGATGAGCGACGTTAACAGCCACAAGTCCTACAGGCCACTCACCACACTCACCTTCAGGTACGAAATTGTCGTCTGCAAATTATTGTATTGTGAGACACTTTGGGAAAATTATTAAAATTTTATCTATATGAGACCGACAACACACAAACCAAAATGTTAATAACCTAAAAACCTTTATTGTACGAAATTTAATCAAAACCCGTCATTACGTTGTAAACGTAAGGCTAATACAGCCGCTCAGCGAACTTCACGACCGACTAAGGAGTTTCCTGCTTTGAATTTGGAAAGTCCGGTTAAAATATTGGCCCAGGGACCAGCTGTCTTGTTCAAAATTTTGCGTAATGTTTCTCTGACCCTCCATTCATTCTGGAATGCCGCTTTAAATTAGGTCACGACTTCTTCCTTCCACAACTTTTCCAATACATTACTCGTTAATCAGTATGCGTGTATCTTTGTGACCTACTGACAGTGTCGTTAAATCAGTCACGAACAGACACAACTGTTCCTTTGTGTGTACTTATGAGAGATGGAGAAAGGCTTAGGAACATAATTGTCATTGTGAATGTATTTATCGTTTTACGGGAAACTTAATATTTCGTTGCGACCGTGTGATGAACCGTTTCGCTGCAAGTTTCTTCGATCAGGCAGTGGTGGCTTTCACTGGTAATTTCAGTGAACAGAAAGCCACACAACCGCCATTCTATCAAAAGTTGTGGAATATCTTTGTACCACAACACTCTTGCTTTCCTATTACAGGTACAAGAATAAAGGTGAACGACACGAAGCTGTGGATGATAAACGAGGTGGCATTTACGTACGGGAAACATTGGTTTTATGAATAAGATGACAATTTTTCAGTTCCAAGTAAACGCTTTCTGCATTTTAAAGGAGTATTATACACGTTTATTAAAAAATCCGAGTTGCATTTAGGAATAAATTGAGAACAAATTAAATTCAGGGAATGCGTGCTATCATTTAGGCCACAATATTTACCTTTTCCCCCCTTTTTGAAAAATAAAGAATATAAATACAAAATTTTAAATTTACCTGCTGTATGTGGATTTGAAACATTAAGGAAGAAGAAGACATTGAAGGTGTTCGAGTAATTATTTAGACCTGAGAGAGATGGACAGTGACAGCTTCAGGAAGCTTGAGAAAATTACCCGGTTTTTACCATGGAATTTGTTAATAGATATTGATTTTTTTACCGTTTTTCATATGTATTACTGCGTGGATAAAATTTGGTAGCACGAAATAATTTATTTTTCTGTGTAACTATCAGAGATGAAATCATTTGGTTTCTATGAAATCAATTCAGTTGGATTTGGTTATTGTTTTCAATTAAATCTGTTTAATTCAATTCAATTCAATTAATTTATTTACGTGTTTGCCAACAGTATATAAAAATAATGGTAAATAAATTATTTTTATTGTACAGAGTGTCCACGTGAAATCTTTGTGGTCTTCTTGTCTGGTGGATCCTTCTCAAAAACACGTCTGTAATTTCTTTTAACTGTAATAGTAGATTTCCTTGTGGAAAACCAAACTGATCATTGAGCTGCCTGTTGTGGAGACGCCATTTTGCGTATTGTCGACTGCAGCGCCGCCACTGATTACCTGCAAGACCTCTGGAAAAAAGGAAATAAACTTTTTGAGTTGCTCTACAGAGTACCGCAAACCGCGTGTTTCTATCTGATTGGTTTGTTAATGGGGAGAGATTTTATGTGGACACTCTGTATTATAGCAGAATTCCTAGTATTTGAAAAGTCGTATATTGAAGCTATAATCAAATAAGCAAGATCTATTCAATTCACAGTAGTAAACCACATTTGACCTTTAAATGTTATTCCTTTGTAGTCTTAGCTCTTTATACACGCACGTGTAGCATTGTACATCACTTTATATTCTTACTGTACAGTGAGTGTTCTTTCATAACCAGCAGGTTTGAAAATTTGAGAAAGGGACCTAAATATTTATACGCTTATTTGACCTCAGTCTCTACTGATCCTGCATTAGTTGTTTCATAATATAAAATCAATAAACGTTCGTCATAAAACAGGCACACCTATCAAACCACCGCGTGAAAATATAATTGACAAGGTAATTCAAGCAGATAATTTCGTTGGTTATTCTGAGCTGGATCCATAGACCTACGACCGTTGTGGCAAAAATAATGAAATAGGAGGTCTTCTCGGACGATCAGCCATGTACGAATGTCGTTGTAACCCAGCGTTTCAAAGACTCTCTTATCCTCTATCATCAGGCAAATGTAATCTACGAAACGTTGGATTGCATGATCGCCTTAGAACACTTCATGGCATTCAGTCGCCGTGAAGCTTCGAATCTTAACTAACACTGTGGCAGCAGTACCCGGATCCAACATTGTTTATACGAAATCACTACAGACGATTCAGAGCAACTTTTTGCCTAATTCCTCAATACCTATCTCTTAAAGGATCCATATTAATGTTTCCCATTATCACATTTTCGAGGCGATTTCCGTTAATATTCTGGATGTGATAGCCTTCTTGTCTTCCCTTCCTAGCCCTATGCCGACTCCATATTTTTGTCTAGATTTTACTATCCAGAACTGACAACTACTACTATGAGTAGAACCAACTGTCATTTTATTCGTAGTTGGAGATTTAACTAATAGGTCCGTTGAAATTCAAAGGGGATTCTTTCATTTCTTTATCCTTACTTCTTTTCTTCAAAGAGTTAAGGTGATTGGATTTTTCTCTCGTATTTCAAAGTCGTTGTCGAACTGAAAGTAACAAATTCAATTGGCCTTCAAATCAGGACGTTTTGTAACGCAACTAAAGAAGAGGATATAAGAGACCCCATTTATTCTGGTGCTCCAAAATCCGTGCAAAAAGAGTTTGTACAAGTGTTGGCAGTTGGATAGACGGGAGGTGTTGGAATCTCCCTGTAAACCTCCCTCACTAACATCGAGTTTAATCGTTATTGTCCGTGAACTACTCGATGAGTATGGTTAGTCAGAATGGATTTCTACTATAAGATCTAATTTGAAGTAAAGGCGAATGTTTTAAAAGCTATGTATACATAAACCATATTTGCATTGTATCGAAAATACTTCAAGTGATGTAAAATCAAAACTGCACGATTCCATTACTTCACTGCCCTTTAGTACTAATATGTATCCTGTTTATAAGTGATAGTATTGTGTAGAAATAGAAGCAAGCTGTATTTCCGACGTTTTGGAGATCCTTATTGGTCTAATCTTCAAGGAGAATTGTCTCTGTAGATATGTGGACATTTTATGACGCAATTGGTTATTATTAGACGAAACTCAACAGTTCCCACCAATCTATGGACATGTACTACGTATATCGACAAAGGCCGTTGGGTAGTTACTTTGTATTCTTCTTCTTCTTCTATGGCTCTCTGGTCCGCATTCGGTCCATGGCCTCCTCAATTCTCCTCTTCCATTCGGTCCTCTGTTAGGTCCGTCTACCCAAGGCTTTGATCGAGGTTTCAAAACATCTTCCCTTTTACGGTGCAAGGTTGCTAGCCTTGCGACCAACCCCCAACCTGGAGGACCAGGGTACCTGTCTTAGTCTGACCTCACCCCCTCGACCAATCTGTCTAGGGAGGCCCTACCAGTAGCTATGCTACCGCCAGCATAGCTCTTGGGATCACTGAGGTACTCAAGCCCCACCACCACGATAAGGTGCAGGTACCATTAAGTGGGGAGTTACTTTGTATTAAGGACTTCTGAAATGTCAACACAATTTTATTATCATGTACAAAATATATAATTTATAATTATTAAAATTCAGTGGAAAGATGAATTATTATAAAGGTTTATATAGTTGAATGGGGTGAGAGTGTTCAGCTTCAAGTTCTTCTAAGTTTTTAGATTTTAGGAAATGCCCTTTATGGTTTTAAAGAAAGCGGTAACCTTAACCCAACGCATCGCTCAAGTTCAAAATAAAAGTTAACCTTTGTCCTTTTAAAGTAATAACGATTTAGTTGCGGGAGAGAGCAGATTCGGTCTTTTCGTGGCATAAATGCAGCGCTTTAAACGGCGTTCGAAACGAGCTGAAATGATAACACGGTGACGCTGAAAACTGTAAGGAATTAGAATTTCCTTCAGAAGGTTTTTGTTTCGACAGTAGCGGATTCTTCTTCGTGCTCTTCCATTCAATTTTTGTGACACAGTTTTGAGAACATGAGTTTTAACAGGCTGTCATCGTGCGCGCCAACTTCAAAGTTCTCTTTACTTTTATCCTGTGACTAGGAATAAAATGGAAATCCTATCGGATACAATATTAATTTGTACTTCTACCATTTCCACCCATGCAGAAAGAATTTTGGTCGAAGACTATTTATGTGGAGGCTTTAACTAATATAAATATGTAAAATATTTTCCACAACACTATATTATTTCAAAGAATAAATGTGCGCATCCTTGTAAGATATGACATTGGTACTCTGAATAAATTAATTTGCATTACATTGTATTACAAGTGTGTCAGAGAAGTTGCACATCAAATTAATACGTCATAATATAATGCTTTCCTTTTGGGTAGGAGAAACTTCAGGAATTTTAAGAAGAAAAGAGGTAATTTTGTTTGGTCTCCTGTTCTGTAAAAGACTATAGAAATTAAATTGTAATTAGTTGTAATAGTAGTACAATAGTAATAATAATGTTGTTCTCAGTAGCAGTTAATTTTCACCGTAATCTGACAATTTCAGTCCTGAGTTTTGGAATTTAGTGCAAGATTGTAATTGTAGTTATTTTTTTGTTTATCTGCTACTGATGTTTGACAATTTTTAAATTGATCATGGCATAAATAACTTTTGTTGTGAACCAACAACTCTGGTTTTTGTGAAAGACCGGAATAAATTATCGTTATTAAATGAAATTGTTTCTTTTTCAAGTCTAGTCGCAGGCCCTCCCGAGTGGCCGCTTGCCTTCAAGTCAGAATATTTTAAGACAATATGGTGAGAGAGAGTGGTTTCAATTCATCTGGCTCAGGATAGGAACCGATGACTAGCGGGTCATTTTTCGACACGGTAGTGAATTTTGTGGTTTCATAAAAGACGTGGAATATCTTGACGAACTTTATCATACACCACCGTAATTTTGTAAGAAGTCTTGATGTTGACAAATGTTATAGGAAAGTGATGCATTATGAAGTCTGTATCGATATTTTAAAAGCTATTTGACATATGAGAAAGACAGAATGCTAGATGGTAACATGTGTAACAGAGCTATGGCCAACTTTCAATATCCATTTGTTTTATGTACACACAATATGCCGTCTTGAGAAGAACATTTGTTTCAGCAATTTCAATACTTACGATGAGTTTCTGTTATACGAAACGGGGTAAATCAAGTTCTAATCTAAACGTGCCCTGAAATCAATCTTGAAAATCCCAGTACGTGACTTTAAAATAAAGTGTAGTAATTTCGTACATCTGGTTCGATACTTGTTTTGAAACATTTTTCAGCTTATACACGTAAGTCCCATACTTGTTACATGCACTTCAAGACTTTGCTTTCAAAGAATTTCAGAAAAGTGTAATTATTTATTATTAAAAATGCCTAGTTGTGTGTCACTATGTACTGTGTTATTTTAGGTTTAATCCAGCATAGATTAAACTTGAAATGTGAAACCAGAAACGTCTCTAATCGATCAGTAAACTTGTTATTAAGTCTCCGAAGATCTAACTTCAAAGAGCAGAGTAGTACTTGAGAAGCAAATAGTCGCTTAGCTAGTCAACAAATTACTCGGTTTCCATGGGACCTGGACTTTCATTCCAGAACTCGTATGAGACAGCCATTGGTTCTTATGTGAGCCGGATAAATTCAGTCTACATCGTCGC